CAAAATTATTTTTCAAAGTGGTAAAATCTCAATATTTTTTAAAAATCCAAAGCGATACGAATTCTCTAATCAAACTTGCTGAAAATATGTTTTGTCGAGCGATATGGGCTTGTTTTGTAAAATCAAACTAACCAGAAGATCGCGTTATTGTTCGTTTAATTTTTTTTCCTCCCCGGAAATGAATTCAATTTTGTTAATATTCTTCGACAGTCTTTGTATGTTATCTCCTCCACCAGCGAACGTGCAAGAAGAGAAAGTCGTTTTTGACACGTCTTAAGATAGATCTGCAAACAAAGCGATATTGTTCGAAATTATATTTTTAAAACTTTGAGTAAATATATTTGCAATTCATTGCAGTTTTACGTGAGTGAAAGTGGCTTCCAATGAAAGAACACCATTTTGATTGTTAGTTTCAACAAAGGCTGTTGAAGTGCCTTTTGCGCACGCGTAAGGAAGGTCAGTATAAAATGAGCAAAGTCACTAATGAATTCATCTAAACTGGCTCGGATTGTCTCATAGGACGAAGAAATTCAGAGCTTTAAACTGAGAATCGCATGTTATGGTTTTGATTTAATTTTTCAGAGCCATACAGTCTTCAGAGTGATCTCAATTCTAAAACCTTCAATTGGTAGAAGACGAGCGGCAAAGGACCCCAGTGAAAGCAAGAAACGAAGGGTGAACTTCGCGGAGAATTCCGCAACCTTCATTACTACGTAGATTCCCCAACCATCGTCATAGCGTTATTTGAACGAGCCATGACAGTAGTAGCTGTGGTTTTATTTTCAATTTTGGACGTGGTAGCCGCGTTCACAAATCTAACAGTTCTATGCATTATCCTACCAAGAAATTACTTGCGAACGGTTAGCAATTTATTTCTTGTTGGGTTGACTTCGACCCAACTATTAATGACACTGCTTGTTATACCATTTTCGATCGTGACTTTCTCGAAACAGGAGTGGAGTTTCAGCGATGGTTTTTGCAAGTTCGAGGGCTACTTAACGACTTTTCTATCCATTTCGTCGGCGACGTTTATATCTGTCATTTCAGTGGATAGGTTCTTCTCGCTAGCCAACCCAATGAGCCATGCTGGAAACATCACTGGTAAGCATGTCATTTTTGCCTCGCTTTTCAACTGGTTTCATTCGGCATTTTGGGCCGCTTTCCCCCTCTTCGGTCTCGAAGGATTAAACTACAAGTACTTTCCAGCGAAAAATGGCTGTGCTTTCCGATGGGATCTCAAGGGATCATACCGCATTTTTTACTACTTTATAGCAATGGAAAGTTTCATCCTTCCTAGCTTCACAATTTGTTTAATGTACTTTAAAAGTTTCCAGACCGCGCGAAAGAGCGCAAGGCAAATTCGCCCAGGAAATATCCAAATACAAGTCTTACAAAACGGAGAATTCACCACGGTCGCTCAAACTAACTCTTACCAAAGTTGCAAAGCAAACTGTACTTTAACAGTAATCATCGGCTCTTTTCTAATTTCAAGAGGACCGCTCACGATCTTTAACATTGTGAACAGCTTTACCGGCGAAGGATACTTCTCCTCGCTGACGGAGACAACGGTTTCGTTTCTCTTACTTCTTGGCCCTTTGTTAGACTCCTTAGTTTATTTTTTCCTGAACAGAAAGCTTCGACAGGAGTTATATTTAATTTTACGCAAGTGTTTCAAGAGCAAAAGCGACGGTGATGAAGAACCGAAGGATATCGTTGACTACCTAAGATCCATAGCAGATAATGTAGAAAAAAGGCACTCGTCGACCGACATCGAAACCCACGACATCGAGTAGCACATATCAAGAAACGTCGCTCTTCAAAATATCAAAAACCGTTATGTTTTCACGGGTTTTTCGCTCACTACGTCGAATTGGTTAGCGAAACGTTACGGTAAGTGCTAATTCATACACGTTCTGCCGACCGGAGGAAATATTTCTTTTGTAAGAGCAAGACATGTCATCTCTGGAAATAGACTTAAATAATCTCATTAGCAATGATGCAGGTTATACTGAGATATTTTAGATTTATGGACTGCTAACGTTGTTTCTTGAAAATAAATCTCTTATGAACAAAAAATCTTTGCTTTATTTCCTCGAAGCTTTGTTTTTTTCGTCGTAGAAATCCCTCCGTGCGGGAATTGTGTTTCAGGAGGATTTACAGAGAAAATAGCTTTTACAGGTCAGATTACTAAGAAATTAAGCGCTTATCTCCCCACAAAAGCGGGAAAACATAAAAAAAATTTTGCATATGTAAAAGCAGAATAAATTCTCACTCTTAACCTATAGAGACGCGAAAAAACATTTCTAAAAACATATGGAACGGATATCCCCCTGCGGGAAGAAAAAAAAATTACATGTTGAAATTCCCTATGCCTTTCAAGACGAGTTGAAAATGATTATAAGAACTTTAATAAAAGTTCCTTTTGATTTCACACAAGCAAATCACTGAATGCACGAAGGTAAATAATAATACAATTTATTTTCATGACTTGACAGTGAGTTATGGAAATGTCTAGACTAACGTGGGTCGCTTCGATTTTTATATCAGAAAAAACAACAGCTGTTTTACAATGGATAAACCGAATTATATTTTTATGTCGTTCGCGTCTTTGCCAAGTTATCTCAGGGAATTGCTCGGCACCGGCGACAAACGTATAGTTGATAAACAATTAAATTATTTTCAATGGTGACCTTTCTCTCTTCTAAGGGCCTGTAAGTGATTTGTGAAAATTACCAGCATTGAATCTCTTAATCCAGCCAAAATTATCATCCAAACACCACGCTCCAAACAAAGAAAAAAAGAGTGAGTCAGTTAAATTTTTTAAAAAATCACCATAAAATACAAATGTTCCATACGCAGGAAATCGCGTTCTATAGATTGCATTTGCATTTTTGTTTTTTGCTACAAAATTTATCCACCGTTTATTGTCTGAAAAAGTAACCCCCTTGCACAGCATAATAAACAATACCACAGGAAAGTACTGCTCATTAGTTTTCATTGAATGGTCACAATTTAGGATTTCATCCACAGACTCAAAAGTTAGAACCACCTTGTACAACATAATAAACAGTACCACAGGAAAGTACTGCTCAGTAGCTTTCATTTGAATGGTCACACTTAAGGATTTCATCCACAGACTCAAAAGTTAGAACCACCTGGTACAGCCGGCATATTCCTGAATCCTACTGCTCACATGCTTTCGTTGCAATTTTATTTCAGGAAAAGACGACGAGTGAATATCAATGCCACAAAAAACTCTTCCCACGATCATTAATTTAATCTGTTTTGTAGCAGAAGTTTTCGCCTCAATTTTCAAAACAATTAATGCGATTAAATCTGACGGAAAAACAATTATGCCTTAGAATTTTAGGCGCAAAAAAATTAAAATGTCATTTAGAGGAGCTATAAATACACACAAAAAAATCAACACTTCATTGTTCAGCTAGATATTGCGATTTACATGACGATAAGACGAGAAACAGAAAAAATGCTGTTAGAACATACATATATTTTACCATTTTCCCCTTTTCATGAGATCAATTGACGTGAAAGTTGTAAACTTATTGCAGGCGACAAGAGGAGCGCACAATCTTAATCTCCAGGTTGTTATTACGCATGCGTCGCATCTATATAGCAAGCATTCATTTGGACTTTCACTAAGAATGAGTGGAATGCAGAGGATGCAATTTGATGACGCGCGTTTGGACCTTCTATCACTCGTGATTGGATCACGCCTGTTTTGACCATCTGTCAATTGAAACTTACGCAAAGGACAGCGTTGGAGCAAAAGCGTTTTGACCTTCGATCGTTGTCGCCCAGACACCGTAATCTTTGGTTATTACTATACGAGTAACATTAACATGAGCGACCAAGAGAAAACTTACTTTGAAATTGTGCTTTTCGATAATGCTGGTCACCTAAGGTAATGCAGGTAACAGCACTCCGAAATCCACATTCGCGCAAAGATAATACGTCCTACATTTGGGACTGAGATTCTTAAAAACCCACAGTTGGCATGCGAAACTTTGGAAACTCTACAAAAAACAAATGCCCGCGTGATATGGCTGTGCGCATGCGCACGCCTTGGGTCGGTGAACGAGTGCCACTTGTTCTAGCCGGTTTTATTAAGGAAGGAATTTCGAGGACACGCGCGCACGAGGAGAGAAAAGGCGAGGAGGCCTTCACTCCCGCGCGTGTTTCCCTCACTCTTTATAAAACCTAACAAAACATACCAACCAGCCCCTGCCATGCAGGCTACACCTGCTCTTAAGTTTGTCTTAATTTCAGTCAAGAGAGGGATTCAAAACGGAAAATACCATAATACTCTTTAAATTTCCGTTTGGGTGGTGCTTTATGTAACCCCAACTTTTGCAATACCTTTTGTTCTCTGCACGATGCGCATGCGCAATGCATCAGCTCCTTATAAATTTGCATACACGGCACGTGCAGTTCGTGCAAAAAAAAACAAAACAAAACAAAAAAAATACTGCGAAAGTAAGGCTTACATGAAGCACCACCCAAACCACAGTTTGTCGAATATTATGGTATTTTCCGCCCCGAACAATTCCAAAATTGTCAAGGTAAACCTCATATTCTGAGTGTGAATGGATGTTTATTGAACCAAAATACAACTACCAATAACCGCGAATGTTGAAATTTTTACAAATGTTCACTTCGCCTCAGAAACAACACTTCACAATCATTTTGATGTACACTTACTCTAGTGTAGCGCAATAAAACATGCTTCATTCCACGCGTTCGTTCTTCAGTCACGTAAAAATGCATGCTTTGACAGAGTCAATTAACTTGTGTTTACTAACACAAGATCGAGATAGTCCCGCGCCCGGAATCCATATCGATGAAGAGTATCCGAAAAAACTATCGGTAAAAATAATCCCCCAGAAACGTCGATCGCGATTATTTGAACCAAGAAAGAAATAAAATACAATAGTTCAGTCTCTAACTTCTTTTGGATTATAGTTGGTTTTTTAACAGACCCTCTAGATAGTGTTCTCTTTTTTTTCAACGGAAGTGGTGGGAGACGATGACTTGGGCAGTTCTGGCTCTCCACTATGACCCCCTTCAGATAGCAGCGTGTTACGTGCCTCAGGTCTTTCAATGTCTGTACTGACCCCCTCTTGGGATGCCAGATCATCGGTTCCGTCATTTACAACGGGAGGGGTGGGTGACGGCTTCTGATCGGTGACTGGTCTTTGCGGAGAAGCTTCTCCTTCAACTTTAGGAGAGGAGACAATAGATCCGTCTTGGACTGTGGGAGAGGTCGGTGAGGCTGACTCGTCATTGACTTGTTTCCCCGCTGGGTCTGGAGCAAGTAGCCCTCTCAACGTTTGAACATTGTCAGCGGTATTCCCAGTCTCTGACGTCTTGTTGCCACTAGCAACCGTCGCATCAGTTGCTTCAGCGGCTTTGTTTTCATCTTTAGAATTTGTACCTTCCTCGTTTGCACGCGCGTTTTCTTGCGAGTTCCCACGCGCGTTCCCTTGATTCAACAACAAACCAATGAACGATGGAGAAACATTCGGGAAGGCGTTACGAGCCAGTCTCATCAAGTCGCTATTCGGCTGGGTACCCTGTGTCAGGATAGGTTCTTGCAATGGTTTGGTCGGAGACGGCAGTTCGTCTAAGTCAATCATTACCACGTCGTCTTTAGAAGCGGAAGTGCTCGTTGTTGGCGTCGTATTTGCAGACGTCGACAGGGTGTTTAGAAGAGCCGAGGGCAAAGACTGCCCCAACTGTGTAACAGGAACGCCAGCACGGACCAAAGAAGCGAGAGGGATGGGGAGGTGTGCCACAGGGGAGGGGTAAGGATGAACGTTTTGCTGATGAGATGAGATGGAAGCTGAGTCGTTGCATTGCTGTGAAATTGGTCCAGCTGGATTAACTGGGTTTGGTACATAAACATGATTGGGTCTAGAAAAGCGGTTTAAAACAAAATGCAAGAACATATCAATCATTTTCCCAACCTCGTTCCCAGGCTCCTCTCCTGCTCGTCCTCTGGAGCGAGAGAGGGCCCTGGGAACGAGGTTGTCATTTTCTCGGCTGTTTTTCTCTTTCTTTATGTGAGTAGCACGCGAGCATGATGAAATAGCATCAAAGACAAGTTAACACGGATATCACGATCCCAGAAACAAACCGGAAGACGATTATTAACGAGGCTTTGTGGCCAAGGAACTACGAAAAATGTCGGACGAAGAAAGGAGAAATATAGGCATGGGTAAATTTACGAGTGCTTCAGCGACGCAAGTAAGTGTAAAACACAACAAGCAAATGAGAACCAAAAAAAATTTCCGACGTTCATAGATTCCATCTCTGCCAATAGTTCTCATCGAAATAATTAATTAAAAAACAAAATTTCAAATTTCGCTTTCAAGATAACTGAGCGATTTCTCGCGCGCTGATTGGTGGAGAGCTATGCTCGATAAGAGTACAGGCCAAGAAAATGACGTCATGGTGGCGCCATTTGTTTTTCCCTTTCTCGCGCACGATTCTCCAAGAAACTTCAACAGAAACGGACGACAAAACTATAAAAAAAAATCGGCTGTTGTCGATTTGCTAACAAAACATTTTTTGTTTGTTTTTTTTTTTTTCCCAAAAGGCAAGTTATTTACGGGAGTGAAGGTAACAATTTCGGCTGTGTTTACGGAATAAAAATTACAGTGAATTTCCCAATATCCAAAACCTGCTATGTCGCACCTTTGCTTCGCTCAAAACCTTGCTATTTATAAAGTTAATTCCTGATCAGTGAGATAAGATACCTGCTCAGATAATTAGATTCATTCNCAAATGAGAACCAAAAAAAATTTCCGACGTTCATAGATTCCATCTCTGCCAATAGTTCTCATCGAAATAATTAATTAAAAAACAAAATTTCAAATTTCGCTTTCAAGATAACTGAGCGATTTCTCGCGCGCTGATTGGTGGAGAGCTATGCTCGATAAGAGTACAGGCCAAGAAAATGACGTCATGGTGGCGCCATTTGTTTTTCCCTTTCTCGCGCACGATTCTCCAAGAAACTTCAACAGAAACGGACGACAAAACTATAAAAAAAAATCGGCTGTTGTCGATTTGCTAACAAAACATTTTTTGTTTGTTTTTTTTTTTTTCCCAAAAGACAAGTGATCTACACGAGTGAAGATAACAAGTTCAGCTGTGTTTACGTAATAAAAAGAACAGGGAATTTCCGGAGTTCCAAAACCCTCTTTTTCGGACCATGGCTACGCGCAAAACCTTTCTTGTGAAAATGAGTTTTCTTCGCCTGAGAAGAAACAATCATTTTCATATAAATGGTTTCACATTTAGCCTCGCTTTGAAAGAGAGGCTTGGCACAACTCGGAAATAGCCTACTGTCCTTCTAAGATCAGTTTGTGTGACAAACTCTGTAAAAGCAAGGACTATTCATTCCGGTTATCAACTGGTCTTACCTGTTATAAACCGGTTGTATAACACCGGGACAGTATGCACGCGCCCCTTGTTGCTGCATGGATAGTCGTTTCTCCATTTCATAACCTTAGAAATAAATGTGTAGGAAAGTATTATCGAATTTATTCTAAAAGTCTAAAACTCTAAAGAGGGCTTTTATTAGAGAGACTGAGGTATTTATTTGACGGACTAAAAAGACTTACACTCACTTTGGCACTGAATACGAACAGCCAATGATTTGTTGCAAGTTATACACGTTCTTAACAGTTTAATGGCATCAAAAATATTTTTGCGGGTTATCTTTCTCTTCTATCTCATTGTATGATCAGCGCCGCCTAGAGAGAATTTGCCCTTTGTTTTATTTTTTTCATAAATGATGTATACATATAAACGTTTAATATACAGATTTAGCCAAGGCTAAAGGCGAAGCTCCCGTTAATAAGTTTATAATTTACTTCAAACATTAAGCATGTAACAGTTGCAAAGAAATCCACTTGGAGCCGAGTTGAGCCTGCAATCAGTTGAAAACTAGTAACCTGAACCCACGATACGGTCATGTGATACTCGTCAGCGTATACCCTATTTTGACCGCTGTCAATTGAACAAAACATGCACGTTCAGTATCAGGTTGCAGGCTCCGACTCTAGCCAGAAAGTGAGACATCCTGTGGTGCGGACGGTCACATGACTACCACAATTTCTCGGATGGATAGATACCAATTTTTCTTTGTTGTAGGGCTCCGCTCGCGCGCACTTCGCGAACGCGTGAAGCTTCGCTATTAAAAGCTGATTAAAATAGGTCTTTTACCTCTTTTCGCCTCTCTTTTCTCTGCCTTGGTCAGCTTTAATTCCTTTTTATCCACCAACAAAGAGTCGTGTTTAAACGGCACCTGGGCATCAAAGGAAATCACCAGATCACCGTCAGTCAAGCGTAATTTTATAGACTTTTTTTCTTGTCGACTACAAGCAACTTTTCGATGATTTGCGAAAAAAAAAAAATTCCGCATGTTGTCCGAAGGGTGTACAAAAGTTTCCGATCATTTTCCGACAATTACCAAAAAAGGGATCAAGGGTGGCTCAGTGGTGAGAGCCGTCGCATTCAACCAATCGTGCCCGGGTTCAAATCTCGCCATCGACACCATCCGTGGGTGAAGGTTGTTTTTGGTTGTCCTCGTGCTCCGATAGGTTTTTCTCCGGATTCTCCGGTTTTCCTCTCAACTTAAAGACTAACACTTTCAAATTCCAACTTGATCTGAAAAGGGCGAGCACTTTCAATCCGCTGCTCCCGGAAATTCTCCACTGGAGCGACACGAAAAACGGTGTTCCAATTCCTTTTCATCCGGATTTTCCGGAAACTTTTAGTAAATGGTAAACAACCAAAGGATTCACCAGTGCCGGATCCCGAGGTGGGGTGGGGGGAATGGGGGGGGGGGGGGGGGGCCCCC